TTGCTTCAAATGGTGGAGCCATGACCTAGCTTGAAGGGAATTGACTGACTCTGTATATAGAAATACGAAAGTGTTCCAGGATGACTATTGACCGTTTCTCAGTTTCTAGTCCAGGACCTACCTCAGGCAACGCAGGTGTGTTGAGATCTTAGCTCCCACGAATACTTAAACAAGGTTCATGTTGGCTCAGCACTTAGTCATCTTAGAGCTAAATAAAAGAGTCAAAGCTGTGTGAGTATGACACATTTTATTTTTCATGGAAACATGCTCCTATGGCACTTTGTGTAAATTAGGAAATTGTGCACTTGCGGGGCGGTACAGCCTAATGGGTCAGTATAGTATACTAGCCAGTGGCTGTGGCTTGCTGTACATGACCTTATAACACTGGAGCTCAATACCATTTGCTTGACTCATTTTTTTATGTCTGTGTTCCATTTCCTAACTGGCTCTATTATGTCAAACACTGTTTTAGGTGGAAAGCATGATAAAGAATCCCAAACTCATTATATATATACTTGAGAAAGAGAAGCAAAGGATAATCAAAGTAGTATTAGGAAATCTTAGCCTTACATTTGCCCTCTCTTTTCAAGAATTAGACCCCTAGTATAATCATCGTCCTGGGCTAAAACAATCTAAAGGAATGAAAGGTGCTGGGCGGGGCTAACAATTTTCACCTGTGCTCCCAGGAAGAGTCAAAAGCAGACAACCTGATGACAGGTGCCTTCATGCTTTTCATATGGACTTGCCATATGAAATGCAATTTGAATTTGAATGCATTTGAAGAATATGATCTCACCAGAATAGTAGCTCCTTTGAGTATTTTAGGCAACCACTACGTCACTGTGTTTAAAATGCAATGCTAACAATGCAGAGGAACTTTTTTTTTTTTTAATCTGATTTAATATAGATAGGCCTTTTCCTCAATTGCTAACTTCAGTGGAAATCCAGCAATAGATAATTTCTAAAATTAGGTCACCAAATAAAGCCACTTATTTAAGAGCTCTATGGCAGCAAACAAGGGACAGCATCATGAACTAGATTTGATAAAATTGGAGAAGTTTATACCTCAGGTCCAACCATTGCAGGCAGAGGATTAGAAGAGGGGATAAAAATCACATATAGGGCTATCTCTGCAGGGTTGTAGGGAATTAATCAACTCTGGCAGAAGATACCATACTATTAAACTGCTTTGCCTCATTATAAGCTGTCATGTATAGAAAAATATCATGGTCTATATTGATTATAAAAGGAATCACAGTGTATTACCAAACATAATAGAAGAATCAAAATATGCAACTGTAGCATTTTATTTTTCATTATGATAAATTCTAAGTCATGATTTCATAAATTTTCAATAGTCAAATAGTTAATTACTGGCTTTCTTGTGTCCATGGCAGACATCTCTTATAGAACCATTTTCCACTTTTCACTGACCCTGAACTTGGCCTCAAAACGCTTCCCCAGGCAGTCACTCATTGCCAGTTAATTGGTTAACACTTAAGATGAAAACTATTCATCATTCCACTGGTTAAATGAACCTCCTGAGAGCAGAGCAGGGACTTTGTCCTACTTATCTCCATATGCCAATGCCAGCATATTACCTGCACAGAAGTGATGCTCAATATATAGTTGTGAATGATTTAAGTACCCCAGAAATCATAAAAATTTTCACTAGCAGGTAATTAAAAAAAAAAAAAAATGCAAGTGGCCAAAGTTACAAACAAAAATAAATTTAACTTCATTTGTAAATTTAAAAAATGGACAAATAATTTTTAGCTAGATTGGCAAATATTTCTTAAAAAATAATATTCAGTGCTGGTGATAGAGGAAACAAGTACTCAGATATATGACTGGTAAGAATGTAACTTGTTATAGTTTTTCTGGAGGGAAAATAGTTTATCAAAAATCATAAAAGTAGCAATACTTCCACCTAGAAATTCTACCTGTGGAAATATACTTTATGAAAAAATATATTTTGTCCCATCATTTAGCTATAAAGAAGTTTGTTGAAGTATGATATAAAAAATTCAAAATTTATAAAACCAACAGCCAAGGATTGGTCAAATAACATTTGATAGACTTTCTATATATTTTTTGTTTCAAAATTTTATTTAAATTCTAGTTAGCATGTAGTGTAATATTGGTCTCAGGAGTAGCATTTAGTGATTCGTCACTTATATGCAATACCCAGTGTTCATCACAATTAAGTGCCCTCCTTGATCTCCTTCACCCATCTAGGCCATCAGCCACCCACCTCCCTCCCTCAGCCCATAGTTTGTTCTCTATATTTGAGTCTCTTATGGTTTACTTCCCTCTCTCTCTGCTTTTTTCCTTCTGATATATTCAGCTGTTTTGTTTCTAAATTCCACATGAGTGAAATCGTATGGTATTTGTCTTTCTCTGCCTAATTATTTCACTTGGCATAATACCCTCTAGCTCCATCTACATCATTGCAAATGGCATGATTTCAGCCTTTCTATATTTTATTATTATATTATTTATAACATTCACGTATGTATAGTATACAGCTATTAATGTTGTATAGAAGTGTACTTATCAACATGGAAGATATTTAGTATGTGCTTTTAAGTGGAAAAAATAGATTGCAAAATTTATGGTGTGTGGTCTTATTTTGTAAGTATACGTGTATATGTGCCCTAATAAAAGGGTTTAGGAACTCCAACATATTAACATTTGCTATTTCTTGACAGATAGGTTACTAGGACTATTGCTATTATTATTATTGTTATATTTTGGCTATATCTTTTTTCTCTAATGATCACAAGTCACTTTAATAATTTAAAAAGTAATTTTAATATTTAAAAACTCCTTTCTAGAATTGTTCATATTTTTCTTGATTTATTCTTCTATAGTAAGCAGAACATTCGAAATCATTCCATTGGTCATTCTTTATAAAAGTAGTAATTTCAGCATCTAAACAATAGAAGCCCTCTCTAAGGACTTCAGTGTGAGCTTTTGGAGAGACAGTCTTAAATGTGGCCCTCTTATTGACATATTCTTTGTTCTTTTTTCCTTTTCTCATTCTTCCCCTCTCCTTAAATCCTCCTCCCTTTTCATTAAAACACTGATGAGAAAATCCTACTTCAACAGGTGTCAATTGTTCTTTGCTTAGGTTCACAAGGTTATTTTTTCTGATTAATAATTAAATAGACCTTATTTAATATAACATATTAATTAAATAATACATACTCGTCCATTACTCAAAAATTGGAAAGTACAGAATATTTTTAAAAGAGTTGAAAAAATGCCTTTAATGTGGTGTACTTACATCAAGTATTTTTTTATTATTCTGCACATTACTTCTCTTACATAAAAACCATATTATATGCACAATTATATGTTTTATTTTTCCAATAGAACTGCATCCCGGGGCACCTGGGTGGCTCAGTGGGTTGAGCATCTGGCAGTTGATTTCAGCTCAGGTTATGCTCTCAGGTCTTGGGCTGGAGCCCTACATCAGGCTTTGTGCTCAGCAGGGAATCTGCTGGAGCTACTCTCCCACTCGCTTTGCCCCTCCCTACCACATGCACATGCGCAGTCTCTCACCCTCTCTCAAATAAATAAATAAATAAATAAATAAATAAATAAATCTTTAAAACAACAACAAAAAGTGCATCCTAAGTATTTTCTCAGAATTCTCTCTCTGTGTTTTTTTAAAAACTCTTTAAAGAGTTTTTTTTTAAGAGTACTGTGCCAAACCAGCATCTTTCTCATTTGTTCCTTCATTTAACAATACTGGTGAATGACTGCTATGTGCCTGTTAAGAGCAAATGTACATTGTAGAGAAGATAAGCATGGTTCTCTCCTCATGGAGAGGCTCATCTAGGCCCACAGCTGCTGCCTTGCTTAGGTCACTATAAAACTTAATAAATAAGTAAAGCAGTTACTGGGAAGTGAAATATAGGTGTTAACTACAGTCACACAAGGGACAGCAACCTCCTACACTTAGTATGGTTCCTAGTTATAGTCTACATTATTGCCCTCCCCCATGTTCCCTTAGGGCTTTTCCTCTCTCATTAGAAACACATGGTTTACCAAATTATGATCATTGTTTTTCACATCAGGTAAGTCACACTAAGATATATAAGCACTTTATCCCAACAATTAATTTACCAAGTTAAAACAGAAACAACATGAAATGGCAAGTTCATCTTCCCTATCATACTTATATATTGTGTACATACTGAAGAACAGAGAGGCATCTGCATTAGATACGTCTCAAGTGAAGTAATCAGGAATTGTTCTCAAAATCTTTGATGACAAAGACAGAGCTGGAACTGACCATTCAGAAGGAGGCCCCTGGGTTCTTTCCATCCCTCAGCTGCTATATCTGAGAGGTATGACTGGCATATCCTGGGCACAGACTAGAGTGTCTAGGACAGGGGGGCCTTCGGGAGGGTTCAGGACAGCGGCTATTTGCCAAACGGTGTGAAAGTATTTCAACATATTAGCAACTAGTATGACAGACTTAGGCCTCTAGGAAATAATCTCAGAATATTGTAGGTGACTTCTGCTTTAAGGGAAAGACATTATAGCAGCCAGAAAAATTCTTTTACAGCAGAATTTTGTCTTTTGTAGATCCTTTGTTAATCTCATGAAAGTGAGACTCCCGATCTACTTAGATAATTAAAAATGAGGGAGGGAGAAATTCCATGTGCAGACAACTAAAATCAAACACAGACATTATAGGAATGCTGCTACAATAATGTTGAGACAGAGGAAAAAAGGAAGAGCCAGTGAAATAACTCTGTAACTGGGCTTTATAATTGGGAAATCTGAAATGCCTAATCATTTCAAAAGAAAAACCCAGAAAAGAGAGTCATCTTATTTTATTTTAATTTTGAGGGGGGAGTCATTTTACTTAGTTATTAAATGGCAGTACTTTCAATGTATATGATAATATTTTTAATATTAAGTTAATATTTAAACTATTAAGCTATTAAAAACTATTAAACTAATAGTTTTCTCTTCTCTTTTAGCTTTCCTTATTAGAAAAGGCTGGATTTGGTGGTGTTCTTCTATATATTGATCCTTGTGATTTACCAAAGACTGCAAATCTTAGCCATGATACCTTCATGGTATCACTGAACCCAGGAGGAGACCCTTCAACGCCAGGTTATCCAAGTGTGGGTAAGTGTGCAGTTAATCTTTCCCATTCTTTTAAACACTACATGCTATAATTTGTAAGTACATGCTGGATTAGTCAAGGGATAGCAAAGTTGAAGAATTCTTACCACTCCATATTTCAACAAAACTTTTTAAAAGTCTGTAACAGTCAGTAATGGATTTTTGTCTGGATAAGTTGCATATTTTCATATTTTATATGTTATTATTGACTGACTGAAAGTTAAATTAATACCAGGTGGGATAGGCACTCCCTATGGGTGGAAAATATATACAAATACCTAGAAGGTTGAAATACCTGCAGCTTTAGGGTGTCTGTAATTATTTAAAGCACAGAGTCTAGGGGTACACATGGTCTGGTTAGGTGACTTAAGCAGTGGGAAATGATGCTGAAAAAGAATGGAGTTAATATGATCAACTTGTCTGGCTTCCTAAGGGAAGGGATCTTAATCACTGGCAGCATAGAAAATGGCCATCTTTGCATCAAACATCCTTCTCTTTCTCAGTAAGTTGTGTTCATGTTATTGGGGGGTCATGTGGCAGACAGAAGACAACTGAATTTGGCAGGTGCTCCTTGCATCATTGAATTTCTGTCCAATGTATCATTGACAAGTGGTCCATTGATATAGTCTTGGCTGTGGAATAAGCTCTGTGAACCTTCTTCCAGGGTGAGAGTAACCCATTAACCATGGCACTATAGTCAGTAATTAAACTAACAACAACAACAAAAAAATCATGTAATTATTCATGTGTTCTGCCAAAATTTTTCCCTGTTTTCTACAAAATACCACAAAAGTTTCTAATTATCTTGTTCAAGTCCACTTGTCCTCTCTCTATGTATATTAACTTTCCAACAATGAACTAAATTGAATCAAATATGAGTTATAATTTATAAATTTTGTTAGGTCTACTGATTACTGCTTTATCCTCTGAAGTACATTGCTAATAATCCATTTAAGAATTTCCCTTGAGACCTTATCAATAGGTATTTTTTACAGTCTATTGTCTCATTATTAGAATTTTGACATTAAAATTAGGAAATTCCATCTACATCACCAAAAATGTCAGTCCACCTCTCTCATTTGCATAGGCTCTAACCTCCCTTGGTAATAACACCTCAGCTTCAAGAGTCTGTGCTGCTTCCAGTTGGCGAACGGGAGAAGAATTAGGCACAAACAAGTCAGCTGCAAGAGATTGGGAGTAGGGGACAGCAGTCGAAAAGACTGCTCCCCGGAGCAACTCCACAGTCTTGCTTTTATTAGATAGAAACAGTAAACAACAGAAGAGTCGATGGAGGTCAAACGTTAGTCATATGCCATGTAGATCAACAAGAAGGAGGGCAGAATATGTCTGTACAAATAGTATAAAGTTTATAGTTGAATAAGCACATTCAAAGGACTTATCTAAGTAGCCACAGGTGCTCTCTGGGGGGGAAAGGGGAGGTAACGGAAAAATGAAGCAGGCGGCAATCCGCCCTGAGCAGGCCGGCATTCCCAGCTGCTCGGCTTCAAGGCTGTATATCGTCCTCTCCCCCAGAGGCCTGTTGCGGTATCTGTTTTTCTTAAGGCTGTATCTAAATGTGCTTGGTAACTAGTAAAATTTCCCGGGGGTTATATTTTAAGTAATACATTGTTCTGAGGGGCAGTTGCAAGTCTGCATATGACAGTTAACTTTTTTGTGACAAATCAATGGGCTGCAAGGCTATCAAAAGCTACTTTATGCTACTGTTCAAGGTGGTGAATTCACCAGTTGGCAACATTTGCTCTTAATATTTTTTTTTGGCTCAGATCATTTCATAATTGTAGAATTCTATTATAACTAGCAAAATGTTAGCCAGAGACTCAAGCAATCTCAGAATTTTTTTCTCTTCTCTTTTTTTTTCTTTACATTTCGTTTCATTTCTTTTGTTTCATTTTTCTCATTTCTCTTTTCTCTTTTATTTTTCTTTTTTCTTCATGTCTTTTTTCTTTCCTTTTATTTTTTCTTTTCTTTTTCCTTTCCCTTTCTTCCCTCTCCTCCTCTTCTCTTCCCTTCTCTTCCCTTTCCTATTTGCCCCCTTTCTTTCCTTCCATTCCCTTCCCTTTTCTTTGAAATAATTTCAACTCATAAAAATTTTCAAATAGATTATTTAGAGAATTTGTGTGACTTTATTCCAGACTTCTCTCATACTAACATTTTATATAATATTATTCAGTTGTCAAAGCCATAAAATTAACATTGATGTGGCGCTGTTAACCAATTATAGACTTTATTCAGATTTCTTCAATTCTCTCCCTCTCTCTCTCTGCCCTGGTTGCTAAGAAGCTCTGATTAACCATAATGACTTATACCATTGGCTCCTGATTTATTTATCCCTTCCTCTTGCAATTATCTTAAGATCTCTGTGTCTTATGGTTTTATTCACATTTAAAAAAAAATAACAAAACCATCCTCAATTTTGTGGGCAGGGAAGGAGGAGGAGAAGGCAGGTTGTGAATTGTAAATAAAGACTACTAAAAATAATTTATTCAAAGTGAATAGCAGCATCTGACTTAATACCCTAAATACTGTTAGGTAAAATGATTATTAGAGGAATTAATATAAAACTACCTCTTTTTCCAATATTAGGAACTCTGTTTTATTAACTAGCCTAAGGATAATGAAGTCCTAAAGAAGGGCATTGAATAATGAAAATACAAATAGGTGGTTTTATATGTTTGTTTTTAATATGTACATAATAAACAGAAGAGCATAACGAACTTTCCATATGCCTCACTTGGCTTTGTCAACTATCTACATTCTACTATTTTTCTGTTGTCTGTACATCTCCTCATACCCCACAACACCACTTGTATTTTTACAGAAAAAAAAAATCACATAAATTGAAATGCAGACATCTTAACCAACAAAAGGACATACCCATGTAATCTCCGTGCCTATTTAGCTATAGTACATTTTTATCACACCAGAAATTTTGGTCATTCCCCATCACTAGCCCTTTTGCTCAGTGCCAGTCTCACTTTTATCATGGAGTATGTATTATGTTAGGTGCAGGTTCTTTTGCTTAGAATAATGTATTTGATCTTTATTCACTGTTCCATGTGACAGTTTATTGTTGGAAAGTATACCACAATTTTTGAATTGATTCAAGTAGGTGTTTTTTAAAATAAGAATGCTAAGGCACTCTTCTGCAACATATGATCCAAGTGGATTTTTGAAATAAGACACAGGAACTTCCTATAAGATCGTTCTGCTCAGTACATCTCATTGCATATCTGAAAAATTCTTGGTTATTGTAGAATCAGAGCAAAGGATAAAAAGAAGTTTTTAAAAATCCTTTCCTCCTATATCATGGAAAATGATGTCTTCTCATTCTTTTAATAAAAATAAGACTCTAGTTTCCCTTGGCATATTAATCACTCCTAGTCTTATTTTACTTACCTTAAAAAGAATTATATTAATATAATATATATGTTGATATGTATAGATATAGATACAGATCTTACAAGATTTTAAAGAAATGCAATATCTCAAACTTTGCCCCAAACTTAAATAGGAATTCTGAGGGAGGGGCCCAAACATCTGTATTCTAACAAACTCTCCATGTGGTTCTGATGCAAATGAATTTTGAGACCTGCTGAGCTAGAAACTTTATGCTTCTTTTCCAAATCATAGTTGGGTGGCTAGGACTCCTGACCCAAACTTTGTGACCTCATGTTACTGTTCTTTAAACATCTTATATTGCTGCCTTTTATTTTCCCCGCCTCCGTGTTAATCAGGACTGAGGAATATTTGCATTCTGGAGCCTGGACCCAATTTTTGTACTCCATTAGCTCTCAGTAAATATTGATTGAGTGAATAACTTGTTCCTTTAACATGACTACTTGTCTTTGATGATTCTGACCCTGGGCTATACCCTGCTTTAATTAACCTAATTAAAACAAAACAAAAAAAGTGTGTATCAGCATGTACCTCTGATGGATTTGTTTATAAAATACATGGTTTTTCTCCTTAAATGCTCTGTTTGTTCTTTCATACATATTCTATCACTTAGAACAACAGAAATTCTGCTTAAGATATTAGGATATTAAAAGTCTAATCTATTCTCTTAATTCCTTTGATAACTTATCAAATATGTCAAAGATTAAGTGTCCAAAATATCAGACTTCATCATAAGTACTTTTACCAACTTGCTACAAGTATTTCAACTACACTAAACTATGATCTAAGCAAACCACATTTCCTAGAACCATTTACTTTTAGAATTCTAAGAGACTTTCTGGTTCATATAGGGTTCAAATAGTTTTGAGGCACAAAAACTTGATCATGTTAGCTAAGGGCTCATGTAAATGAGGCATGTGAACCAACATTTATAATAACTGGTCATAATTATAACACCAGTGATTAGTTATAATAAAAAATATGCTTAGCTTAAAATCATTAATTGGTTTTGCTCAAAACAAAGAGAGAATCAGAAAACTATGGATGAGAATAAATAAGGGGAGGTAAGAAATAGACCCTTTAAAGAGTATATTATTTAGTCTATGTTGAAACATGGAAAAGAAAATCCTTCCCCAAATTGTAAGTTTCCGATGGTCTGACACCTAGACTAGAAGTAGTAGTTAGAAGTCCTTTTCTTTCCATATTTTAAAAATAATTTATCTTCTGAAACCTCTGCTTGCTGTAAAGTTTATTTTGATTTTAGTACCATCTCTAAATATCTGCCTGTCCAACCTATGGTCAACTAGTTAATTGAAATCCAAATTTTCTTTTATCTTGCCTGAGACTTAATTCTCCTTTTACACCATTTACTGAAATCTATCCCGATTTAAAGTTTTCTGTATTTGTTGCTTTTTATGTTTGTTACAGTCCCATTTTATCACCTCTTTTTTCTTTGTTTTAAATTCTAGAGAGGAAAGTTGTTTCAGTGGTTTTACTCTAGTGAAATGTATCAAACGACACAGTTTATTTAATATTCCCAGTGTTACAATTCAGTGGATCTGTGTGTTGTTTACCTGCTGTCTGTT